AATCACTTCTATGCATACTATAGAAACACATGTAAACCAGGCCAAAAATATTTTTTTAAATCAAATTAATTAATGTTTTAGATGTTCGCTTTTTAGAATATAATTTGGTATTTTTCTGGTTCCAAGATGGGAAAACCTCTTGCTGAAAGGAGTACTTCTAGGGGCAAGGTGAGGGACTTCTGGTGGCCAGGGGGTGGGACTTCAAGCCCCAAGATGGCAACCAGGGGCGGAATACCTTTCAAGGGATGGAGCTACTCACGTGGCCCTCAACAGCTTGCCAAAACTTGGTGAGCGGCCCTCCACCCAAAATAATTGCTCACCCCTGACTTAGAAGATCATTTCAATAGTTAAAATCTCCTTTTAGGGACTGGGCTTGATGCAGTCCCTATCAGGCCTGTGACTGTGAGTAGGACACATCCAATAGAAATTGCTGAGCAGGTGTATAAATACAATAAATCAATATTTGGTTTTGTAACTGGTCCTGAAGAGCAAAACCCACACAAAGGGCATGGAATACCTGCTTTCTGAGGTCACATCAGTCTAACCATGTTGCCTTCTCACTGTTCTGGTTTGAGATAGTATGCCCATATGAATGAATGCACTTTCCTTGTCCTTCTTAATCCTGTTCTGGTTTTGCCCAGGGAACTGTGAGCCAGCCCCTCATCTGATGCACCACTGATTTGCACAAGCTGAGGAGCTAGATTTCTGTTTAAAGGTTCCATTCTCCCCCAGCCCTGAATGTCCTAATTACCAGCATCCTTCCAGATGGGGACTGTCCTAGGAGTGTTCTCCAAATCCACCTGAAAGTTCTGCAGCACTGTCCTCACCATGCTGCCTGTCCATCTCACAGCACTCTGATGCCCAAAGCCCCTCTGTGACAACATACACCATGTGAACTTTCTGTTAATACACTGGCTCCAGCTGTTCCTTGGAAAGTTCCACCATCACTGCTTCCTGTATGCCTTCCAAGGGGTACCCACAGCACCTGTTGAAGTGCCGAAAGGCTATAAAACATGTTCAGCAGCACTCTGAAAGCTGTTCAGACCAGTTTGGTTCCTTCTACTGGGCACCCACATAGGTATTCAGCATGCAAAGGCCAGGACTTCTGACCTCTTCTTGCTGTGCTGTCAGCAACGCTGTTTGTAAAGCAGCATTTTCCAGTTGGGATCATTAACATCTGTAAGAGCAGCTGTAGATAAGAAGGGGCCTGTCCACTTTCTACTAAAAGGAAGAGAAAAAACAGGAGCTGCTCCCAGCCTCCAGTGGGAAAAGAATGCCCAGGGAAGAAAAGGTGAAGCAGAAGTGCAACAACCAGGGCCTGTGCCCTACCAGCAGTTGTAAGAGTGGCAGCAGGGCCGGGTGGCTGTGGCAGCTGTGGTAGTTGGGTCAGCAGTGGCTGTAGCTGTTGTTCTTGCACCCCCTCTAAGTGGGCAGCCAAGGCTAGTGTCCTAGTTACCCACCACTCATCATGATACTGTGAAACAGCTAGGTAGTTTGCCCAAGGAACCAACCAGTATGAAAACACCTGCAGGGGGAGAGGAGGAGCAGAGAAACACAGCCTGCGAAGATGGAGTTAAGATGAAAAGCAGAAGAAAGTGAGTATAGCTGCCTTTTAAAATAAGAATGTAAGAAAGCACTTGTTGCAATAAAGACAACAATACTTAAACTCTCTCTCAATATTACTGTTCCACAAGCATGTGACATAGAACATAGGACATGGAGGGACCTCCTGGGACACTTGGTGCCTCTCTTGGGCACCAAGTCACATTATCCCATTAATAAACTTACTAAATTCAATCTTAAAATTAGTTAGGTGATTTTATTATATAAAATAATAAAAAGCATAGTGCCAGCCAGTAGGTATGCCATTTAACCCTGCTGTATAACCCAAGAACAAAGAGCTGCTGCTCAACGACTATTAGGTACTGGCTAAAAGAAAATGCTATTTATGCAATGCTTAATTATTCTGTGGAACTCATTGCTGCATGATATTATTGAGAAAAATACTGCAACTAAATAAGGGTTTAGTCAGACAAGTAAAGGAGTAGATGTTCATAAATAAACAGCTGTTTATAGTTAGGGTAAAATTACCAGAGCTATCAATCCTCATACTTCAGAGAGTGACACAATCACCGGCAGAGTGAGATAGTGCCCCCCCCAGAACAGTATTAGACAATCAGCTACAGTATGGAAGTTTTACACCTTGTGAAGCAAACCAACATTAACCACTGTGAGACGCAGGATAGGAGACTGGATTGTCCATTAATTTAATTTGGTATGGCAACTCTTCTGCCCCTATATAACAACCATGTATTTATCATAGTTGGCTTGCTTCTGCTTATTAGGCTCTGATTAGTCTCCCGCCTGGTTGAGTGTTTGACATGGTTTTACATGGAAAACAGAAGCAAACTCCAGGGCTGTGTATTCTTCCTTGTAGCTCTTGTGATGGCTTTCCTAGCTACAATTGTAGAGTTTAAATCCCCTGTGATCATAGCACTAGACTTTTTTAGGCAGCACTTTTTCTGTGCAAGCTTTTCTTATAGCATAGTCATGGCCATAAAACCTACAGAATCCTTTATAGTCCTGTTTTATCCTTCCCTATCCCACCCATACATTTTCTACTCCACTGGCTTGATCCAGAACTCCAATAGTATTTCTGTTATGGTAATGTTATGTTTCCCTGTTGTCGTGTTGGCATCACACTCTCACTCTGAGAGCTGCTTTCTTTGGCAGCTCTGAACCTACCGATAGCTCCTTCCCACCTATCTAATCTGTCTTGCTGTATTTGTATCTTCACTCATCACTGTTTTATCTGACTGCTGTACTATCCAAACTGTACCCTGCTACACAGGCTGGATCTCAATGACAGCTCCTTTTCTGACCATCCCGGATGGGCCTGGTAACATAAAGATCCCTTTCTTGAGTACTATCCAAAGCTCTGTTCTCAGTGATTGAGGTAGAGAGGACTAAGAGTTATCCAACTTCATTTCTAGATTCCAGGCTCTAATGAAGCCATACGGGAAACATGCAAAATTGCCCTGTGGCAAATGCTTTTTGGCACAATCCACAGGCAAGTTGTAACAGTAACAGGACCTTTTCCTGACTCTGGGCTCCTAAAATGACAATAAAGCAGTGATAGAGCATTCTTGTTTTCTAGTCGATATTTAGGCTTAATGCTAATCCTATTGATGGCAATAGCCAATGCCCCCTTGACTAGCTCTCTGAAACTTCTCTAAAGCAAGAGCAAGAACCAGGACTAAAGCTCAGTTCTTGTAACATGACAATGCAGACCATAACCACTAGGCCACCAGTCAGCTCCTAGGGGTGTCTTCTCTCTTAGGCATTTAGATCATCAAATGTATGATCTTCTTGAGGTCCCAGCATACAAAACCTGGGATCTATTGCATGCTATACAAACAATGCTGCCTCTACTGTAATATAAACATCAAATAAATATTAATTGTAAAATTAAATTTTGGACAATAATCTCCTTAGGTCAGATTTAATTTCAGGTGATAGTGTAAAAGGAATAAATCTTGCATGTAGTATACTTTGCAGATCAGTTCTCAAGAGCATTTATACAAATAACATTTTTACACTAAGCAAATATATCTGCAGTATCCATACAATGTGTGGATAATGAGAAACTATTAGCATAGCAGTAGCTGCAGAGCTTACAGTATTCAATTCAGAATGATCATTAATTACAGATCATATTCTGTTCAAAGTGCTATTAATTCCTGGGTAGTATTTGGTTCAATCCCAGGTATAATTCATGTGTGGCTAACGTTTGTTGCCCATTCCTAAACAATAACTATAGGTGTATGAAGTTATGCAGAATGGTGCCTCTTCCCTCTGGAGCCCCACTCCCTGCCTCTGGGAAAACTGGCAGCAGTCTATGCAGTTTATGGGGCACTGAAAATTGCATCCTACATAGAACCACTGGTTCCAGATAGCTGGGTCTGAGGGTGTTGACACTTGAATCCCTACCGGCTGGTGAAAAAGTTCTATTGGTCTCTCTCTACACTGGAGACTTGCATTTGTGAACCCAAGCCATTTGGCTAAGCTTCTTACAGACAATCACTCCTGGGCCTTACAAGTGACACAGAACATGCCATTCTCCAATATTCTGCCATGGGGACAAGCTTTCTAAGGAGACACAAAGAGCTGATCTTAGCACCTTCCCATCCCTACTGCTGGGTGTACTCTGCTGTGTCAAGTCTAAGGTAGCAGATGTGTAGTAAAGAAAGCAGGGGGATTTCTTTCTAACCATCAGTTTTCAATACTCTCCAGTAATAACTTTGAACAGAGGAAAGAAAAAAACCAGAACAGCAGTAGAGCAGAAGGAATGCAACTCAAGGTTTTCCTTTATTCCTGTTTTATTTT